CTCCAAGGTGCAGTGTCCAAAGACACCTCAAGAGGAAGAGGATATGAGACGAGTTCCCTATGCATCGGCAGTTGGTAGCCTGATGTATGCAATGTTATGTACTAGACCTGACATATGCTAGGCAGTAGGGTTGGTTAGCAGATACCAGTCAAACCCAGGATTAGATCATTGGGTTGCAGTCAAACACATACTCAAATATTTGAGGAGGACGAGAAACCATATGCTTGTATACTCTGGTAGGGATTTGATTCCTATTGGATATACTGATTCTGATTTTCAGTCGGATAGGGACTCTCGCAAGTCCACCTCGGGGGCAGTGTTCACTTTGGGAAATGGAGCCATCATATGGAGGAGTATCAAGCAATCTTGTATTGCTGACTCAACCATAGAGGCTGAGTATGTAGCAGCTTGTGAAGCTGCTAAGGAAGTTGTCTGGCTTCATGAATTTCTGAAGGAATTGGAAGTTGTTCCAAATATGCATGAACCTATCATACTCTATTGTGACAACAGTGGAGCAGTGACCAATGCCAAGGAGCCCAGGAACCACCGCAAAGAAAAGCATATAGAGCGAAAATTCCACCTGGTCAGAGAGATTGTTTCTAGAGGAGACGTTTCAGTTGAAAAGATCGCATCCGCGAACAACATAGCTGATCTGTTTACCAAAACATTACCAGCTGGGAGTTTTGAAATACATCTTGAAAATATGGGACTTAGAGACATGCCTCATTTGCTTTAGGGCAAGTGGGAGATTGTTGGAATATATGCCCATAAATCAAATAAGATGTAAATATTTTGCTGGTTATCAATGAAATGAGGAATTTTTTCAATATTATTTTGCATACATGTGATGTTTTATAAATATCAAAATCCCTAGATTATTTTTTGATGTAACTTTAAACATTGTATATAATTGTTATATGCAGAGGATAATGTTTGAAATAAAATAATCTAAACTTATCTGTAATTATAAATTAAAGTTGGGATCTTTAATTTAAAATTACTAATGAGGTTCATTATCTTCTGAATGAAACAATCTTATCCTAGATTGTTAATAATGAGATTATTGGAATGAAAGCATTTTATGTAAGATGATTACATAGGACCGGAACGCGATTAATTATGAATCTCTAATAAATTCCGTTATTAAATAGAGTATTCAATGTTAATCAATGATGGTCATATATGTATTAATCTTAATTCTGAGTAATTAATAAACTCTTATTTATGATATTATGTTCTTTGACATATTGAGTAATGACACATGTGAATAGTGTCAAAGTCTTGGTATATTGGGAGCATAGTAAAATAAATAGCCGAGAATATTAATTTACAAGATGAAATCCATTCCTTCATAATCAAGTTGATGGACGGTTCCCATAAGTGTTGATTCGGGACTTGAATAATAAGAGTGCTCAATTTTATGATTGGATCATAAAATATATTATTCATTAGAGGATCAATAGTACTTATGGAATAAGATATAATTAAAGAGGTTAACGGAAAATACCTAGCTTTAATTATGAACCGTTTATGAAGGATTAATTCGTATGTAGTGACTATATCAATAGACAACACAAATTCCGTGAACATAATTATTTTTATTATTTTAAGAGTGCAATTCCAAATTTATAGTGGAGTAATTTAGAATTAATAATTTTGATATATTAATTAAGGTGTTAATTAATTGTCAAAATTATTGGAGCTTAAAATTATAATGTCCATAGTTCCTCTCAATGGCTCCATAAGATTAATGTGAACTGAATATATCATATTGAGTTATGATTATTAATATAGAATTGAGAATTCTAAATACACATATATTAATTAATTTGATTAATTAATATTAAAATTAATTTAAAATTGTTAAAGAAAAAAAAAAGAAGAAGGGAGTGGGAGGAAACGTGCTATTGCACGTTTTCTCACCTGAGGAAATGGAGTAAATGTGCGGTTGCACATTTACTCAAAATGGGGATGAATTCCGTTGATAAGAGAAGGAACGAGAAAAAGTTTTTTTTTCGAGAAAACAGAAAGAAAGAAAAAGAAAAGAACGGGAGAACAAAAGAAAACTGAAAAAAAAAAGAAGAAGGGAGTGGGAGGAAACGTGCTATTGCACGTTTTCTCACCTGAGGAAATGGAGTAAATGTGCGGTTGCACATTTACTCAAAATGGGGATGAATTCCGTTGATAAGAGAAGGAACGAGAAAAAGTTTTTTTTTCGAGAAAACAGAAAGAAAGAAAAAGAAAAGAACGGGAGAACAAAAGAAAACTAAAGAAAATTTCTTGAGTGCCATCATATACTTTTGAGAAAAGTGAGTGATAACTATAGATGGCTTCCCTATTCATCCATCTCATGTGTTGAGAAACTCATTAGAACGCCCACACGTTCGAGTTCACGTTAATCCGGAGATACATTGAGAAAGAACCGTGGTGTTCTTAGAATTTAAGAGCTCAAGACGGTGTTGGAGGAGTTCAAGATTTTCGTCCTAATCGAATGACGGTCAAATCCTCATTCCTTTCTTTAATATCTTTGTAGTTAAATTAACATGAAATAATGATCGCATTAAATTTTGATTTATGTGATTCGATCGATACCACGCTTCCGCACAATTTTTTTGAAAATCCGGTTTGAGAAACCAACATTAAGAACAGAAGAGATACTAAGGCCCCGTTCATTTCGCCGATTCGAGTTTAGAATTCGAGTTTTGTTACAGTAAAAAGCTCTCAGAAATAATCACATATAACTTTTTTGCTACAGTAAAAAGCTCTCACATAACGTCACATCTTAACTCAAATTAAAAATTCGAATCAGCAAACTAAACGGGTCCTAAGTACTTGGCATGTGATGGTAATCAAGTATATGATTAAGTCACATCAAAATAATGTATCTCAAGTCTTAACTCTTCACAAATATGTTTAAACGAGTATTTAAATAACATGATTAAAATTAATTAAAATACTTATCACGAACTGAACCTATATCGTAGTACTATATACCTTGTAGAAACACGTTTAAAGCGTCAAACAAACTTTTACAATTAATACAGAAACTAATTGGGTTTTAAATTGTTACCACTATTTGGGGAATTTGATGTCCTTATTTTATTCTTACAATTTTTTTACCAGAAGCATAAAGCGTAGTCGACATCAACAACTATAGATCACTCTATCTCTTTGAAAGGAGCAAATATGGAATAAGTTAATAAATAAATTCCACAACTTTTTAATATTTAATCATTGTTTAAGTGACAAATTTGATCTCTCTTTGCGTAAAACTTCGTATCACTTCATTGCCTGTCACACGGACAAATAAATAACGACTAAAACAACATCAGCAGATGAAAATAAATGATAATATTATATAATAACAAGAATACTATTAATACTGCTTAATATATAAAATATAAATGAAGAAAACGCATGCCTAACGCTTGCGTGTTGGACTGGAAGTTGTCCCGTGTATAAATTTATAGGATGACAATCTTACGTGGATCCGATTATTTAAAAACAAAACAAAAAAACAAAAAACAAAAAACAAAAAAGCTCACGTGGGATCTTTTGTATAGGAATACTACAATACTAACGATTCTTCACGTCTTTCCTGTAAGGTGCATTAGAGTAAGAGGATGTTTGGTAGAGGGATTCGTTTCTTGATTCGAATTATGATTCGTAGTTCGTTACAATATTTTCTCTCACAAAAAATTCACGTAAATAAAAAATAATTCGAATCACATAATTTGAATCATCCAACTAAACGTCCTCTAAATTTATAAGTTCACTTGGCCGCTCAAATTAGATAAAAAAGTAAAGAATAATAGACTTAGAATGCGTATAAAAAATAAAATGTGATTTAAATCATGCTCATTGGTACATGTCAGCAGTGTATAGTACGAATTTTCCAGCTTTATCATTTATAGTAATAAAGGGGTTCCTTAAATAACTCATTATCAAACATTGACTGCATCATTATCCCGATTTTTATATTGGTGATATAAATTAGACTTTTTAAAGATTTAGGTTTCAATCTTATAAGATTAATCTGTTAAAGTATAAATTCATATTTATTATTTTATTTGAACAATATAAGACCTAATTTATTTTAACCTTTACAATTAAAGTTCAATTCTTGGTGTTGGATGTGTGGTCTCAATATCTGCCTTAATCTTTTGAATTTATGATCAAGATAGTATAAGATTGGGTTGTGATGTGTACTCATGTAACTTTAACATCAAGAGTTATTTAGTTTTCAATCTCCCTACATCGACGTCAAAATATTTTGATCCATCGAGATTTAATCTCATTTTGAATATAATCTCCGCCACAAAGAGGACACGTGTTATGTGATTCGACCATCTAAAAAAGATATCCCACAATAATAAATTGCTCCAAAGTTCGGGCATAAGTGGAAAGTGTTTGAAGAAATTTTGTGATGTACAAAAAGATATGATCTCTATTGAGAAACGTCTTACCAAAAAATCGTCCTTAAACTTACAGTAGGAAAAAACTATAGCTCGGATTTTAGTCTTCAATTCGTTAAGCAGAAACAGAAGTAGAGATGCACCTTGAATGTGTTTGATCAAGGTTACAATGTTAAAAAAATAATATATATATTTTTTTTTAATTAGGTGTAATAGATTCGGGTAACAAGTGATCAGCAGAGCTGCAGAAATTGTCACCTTTTTTAAATATTAAGTAGATCTGTTAAAGTTTCTTTATTCTTAATTTGTTTCCACTACGTGAATACTATACTAACTGTTACAAAAATTAAATATTTTTCTATCCATTTTTCTGGTAAAACCAGAGCAGTTGTTGGGCTGGATATTGCTTAGGGGAGCTAAATCTATTGTTGAAATAAATGATCACCCTTTTAAGTAATGCTTTAATTGGTTCGTTAATTTCGGGGACAGCCCATGACTTTTTTGAGATCCCCCACTTTTACACTAACAAAGGAAAAAAAAAAAAAAAAAAAAAAAAAACGAAAAAACACAAAAACATTTCTTGGAATATATTATAACAAAGAACTAGTAGTAACTTTGGTTACATTTTTTTTCTACAAATAATAAATTGATTCCCACACTATAATATAGTAAACTATGGTGGTTCTAAAACTTGTCACAAACCAACTAAACAAAGCCTTTTTTTTTTTTTTTTTAGTACTCTAAAAATCAATCTTCTTAAGCTGTGGCAATTGGACCCAAAGTGACAGTGGTTTCCACTGCTTTCATGGCCTCAAATCTTGGCTCCTTGGCCTGGAATTTGAGTCCAGCATATAATTTCATGTAGTCTTCAAAGACGAATTTTGGGTAAACTTGGTTCTTCTCCTCAGCTTCTTTCTCCACCAGAGTTGGCGCTGGGTAGATCACAGCATCACTCCCAGGGTTGTAGAATGAAGCTATAGACATACGTGTGCCATCTGTTTGTGCAATCACCCTGTGAAGCACACTCTTGTACTTGCCATTGGTAATCACCTATAACCACCCAACAACAAAAAAGAAGGGTTAAAAAAATCACTTTTTTCATCGCGACTTAAAAAAAAAAATCGTTATTTGTCACCAATGATAGTGAATTTATATGTTGAGCCGCGTGTCATTAGTTATATGATTGGAAAATTAATGGTGAGCCGTGACAGGTGATGTTAAAGTATTTATCATGCGCAAAAAGGTTTGAACTGTGGTTTTACTAGTAATACCTCAAGTTGGTCACCAAGGTTGATGACAATGGAGTGGCGCATAGGGGGCACATCAATCCAGTGGCCATCTTTGAGGAGCTGGAGACCGCTAACCTTGTCATCCTGGAAGAGGAGGATGATGCCGCCGGCATCGGTGTGGGCCCGGAGACCCTTGATCAGATCAGGCTTTGGGCATGGTGGGTAGTTGCTGACTTTGGTGCCAAAGGTTGGTCCCTTTGAGCCATAGAAGGCCTTTTTCAGGTACCCTTTCTCAAGACCAAGATTCTCACACAACAGGTCCAGGAGCTCCTCTGCTAGCTTCTCCAACTGCTTAGCAAATTCCCTCATCACCTTCCTGCATTATTGGAGGCAACAATTTTTATAAGCTGTCAATTCCAAAAAGAAAACAAAAAAAAAAAAGTACTTTGGACATTTTTGAAAGGAAATAAAAACTGTTCAATTATGCAGTTCTTTTCTCAAAATGAACTAAAGAACAGAAGGTTTCTATTCAAGGCCATTCTTAACAATGTAAATAGTGGAAAAGGGAAACACAAAACAAGAGAGAAACTTCTTTGAATCAAAGGCTTTATGTACTTTTTTTTTTTTTTTTGAATTCTTTTATTTGCATCATAAAGACAAACTTTTTGATGTCTTATTTATTTATTTATTTTTTTGGAATTACCTGTACTCATCATCAAGATCTGGAATCTCAGAAATGTTGGAAACGGGAAGATGGCGCAAGAAGAAGGTGCTCTCCCAATCCATGTCATTGACTTCAGCCTGGACAGCCTCTAGTCCTTTGCTTGCCACAAGCTCCTTGAACCTTTGTTCCATGCACTTCCTGTAGTGATCTTTTGTCATCTTCTCAACTGTGTCCAAAAACTCATGTGGTATGCTATGATTCACAAGCTGCAAAAACCAATAATAAAATATAAAAAAAAAAATTCAATAAAAAATGCCCATTATGAATTTAGGACACTTGAAACTAAAATGAGGGTTATTTTGTGTAAACTTCAAGGGAAAAGAAAAGGGCGGGGGTGGGAATAAGAAGAATTTGGCATTATGTTTTATATATAGTATTACCTCAAAGAAGCCCCAGTTTTCACAAGCATCTTTGATTTGCTCCATTGTAGTTTTTCTCTCCTCACCATTGAGCTTCTCCAAGTTGATGATAGGGAAGTTCTCCATTTTTCTGTTTGTGAAACTGGAAATCTCTCTTACTATCTCTCTCTCTGTCTTTCTCTCTTTTGTTTCTAACTCTTAAACAAGTTTAGCTTCTTAATATGGAGTTGGAGTTTGGTGCCCTGCTATTTATAGAGGTTTAAAGTGGCATTGAGGACATAAATAATTAGTTAGTGGAGGAGGGTGGGTCAGAGGAGTTTGGGTGGAGAAAATCTTTCATAATTTACTAGTTGATAAAAAAAATCAAATTAAAAAACTGAGATGACATAAACAACTCTTGGTCTAAGTGGGCCCAATTTTTTTTGTTAGTTAGGCCCACCCAACCCTCGGCCAAGGTCATCTTTCCTTGCTCAACTATCATTCCTTCCTTCCTTCCTCTTTGCCAGGTTTTGGGCCCACCTTGGTGGCTATCACTTCCTTGCAGGTTTGACCAATAAGAGAAGCAAAAAACCATATTCCATTTATGCACGTCCCAATTTTCCACTAGCATATGATGTTGATGGAGGTTATATCTTTGAAGGTGCCAATCTCTTGGCACTCACAAACAGCATTTAGCCCCCATTTAGATAGGAAAAAAAAAAAGAGGAGTTTTGCCCCTAAATTATTGATATGAAAACCTTTCATGACATTGACATGTCGGGCATGCCCCTTTGTGTCTTCGCCACTTTTAACCATTCTAGCCTAAATAAGTTGTGTCACTTTGAAGTTTCATCTTTGTAGATTGTAGTAAAAAGGGAAAAATATAAAGTTAAAAGTTAATAAACTAAGCAGGCCTATTGAGATGTGGGTACTTTTATATGTTTATTTATTGATTTGGGTAGGCCAGAAAAAAGGAAGAAGATAACATTGGTCTTTGATGTGGGGGACTAGAGAGGAACATGCAATGTGAACACCACTACTTTATTGTAGTGATGATGTTATAAGCTCTTCAAAAAAGGGTCCTGGGCTTTGCTTCTTTCCTTTTTTCTGAATGACATTGCAGTTAGAAAAATAATAATAATATTCATAATATTCATAATAATGTTAACATTAACAATAATAATAATAATAATAATAATAGCAAGTGACAAAAGATTATATAAAAATGTCTACTTTCTTTAACTCAAAAAAGCCTAGAAATAAGAGGAAAGCAATAAGTTGAGTTAGTTCCCACTACACTCTTTTTCATTCATTCATTCATTCTTGTTGAACATGATGATATGAGGACTTCGGCCTAAATGTCTAAACTTTTAACAAAAATTTAAGCCGGTCTTGTAGTCCCATGTTCACCTCTGTGAGACTTGGTTTTGCTTTTTTACTTTTACGTTCTGTCTTATTGAGAAATAATAATGTCCTTTACTTCGGTCCCATAATTTTTTTCTTTTTTTAAAATTGAGTTTATAAAGGTGACGTAAATGGAAATATTTCTTTTTCCCAATAAATTTTGGTGGTATAGCCGACATAAGAAAAAACAAAAAGAAAATGAAATGCAAACAAGAAAATGAAATCTTGACATACAACAATTCAGCCTTTGTGGGTTGAATCCGGGATTATTTTTATATAATATAATCCTCTTAAAACTAAAACAAAATGGAATTTGACATCTTTTCTTACAGTAAAGAAGAAAAAAAGGAAAAGAAAAACTCAATTATTTGACCCTTTGCAATTGGAGCTTTCAAATGCCAATTGAATTCGTCTTGGCAAGTCGTATGGGATTATATATATGTAATTGGTATTAGGTCAGATTAATACAAATTATTTATCAGGCGACGCTGTCAAAATTGTCATAACACAATATATATATATATATATAATTAAAATTCTAAATACACCACTAAATATGGATATCATGTTCATAAGTTATTGGTTTGTAATATAAGTTGGCCACGTTAGCAATAATAATATATATGACCACAAGTGGTGTCTTTTTTAATATTATATATAAAATAATATGAAAAATAGATACAAATATTAACTTGTTTGTCAAGTGGTGATAGGTGATCAAACTCCAGCAAAATGGGGAGAAAGGTTTGCATAAACACCTTCCAGCCATGTGAGATTTTTCGTTCTACACAAGTACTGGTCTATAAATGCACTGTACACTACTGTCGGATAGAGTGGACTGTGAAATGATTTTTTTTTTTTTTTTTTTTTTAATAAGCAACCCTATTTAGACAAACCACTTTTTGAGACTATACACGTGACATGCCATATATGTGTACAATTGCCAATGGGATATATTGGGGTGGTGGTAGAGCAATTATAAGTTTTGATGAGTATATATGTGGCTCCTATTCAACCCAATCTCTTACCACTCTCGATCTCGATTCTCGATCGTATTGTCCATTCCAAACCCAGTTTAATGGGAATCGCAATGATGTTGAAGATAAGGGTTAGTAAAAAAAAAAAAAAAAAAAAAAAAAAAAAAAAAAAAATATTTGGGTTTTTTTTTTTTTTTTTTTTTAAACAATCAACTAAGGAAAAGACTAATTTTATCGTACTAAAATTCATCAAAGTAATTTTTTTTTTTTTTTTTTTTAAAAAAAAAAAAAAAAAAAAAGCATATATGTGACTTTTTTTTTTTTTTTACTAGCCCTTATCTACCGCATTATTGTGATTCCCATTAAACTAGGTAATTCTGTTCTTGGTATATTCTATCTCGTTTTTCCTCTAAATGCCTGTTACAACCTATAATATAGGGTTTTAAAAGCGTTAACAATCCATTTCAACAATCCAAATCCTCACCACCTGCCACTTATGGACTTTTTCATATGTTTTTTAATTTACTATATTTTTTAAAATATTCACTTAACTATTATAATTAGTAATTGATGTTTCTTGTTTAGATTTTAAGGAAGATGTAATTTAATTAAGAACTAACTTTGCCACTACAAATTTATTCAGTTTTGAGAATAATAAACGTTATGGATCAAATTAAGAATTGACGTAAGATTCCGATTTCTGAGTTCATTTTTTGGATTAATCCTGAAGATAATGCATAACAAACTCATTCCGATTTATTTTATCAGAATTATGTAATATATCAGTTTATTAGTTATTTTTTATATTAATTTAATAAAAAATTTTGGACGCAACATATTATTGTTCAAACATGTAGAAGCTGGATAAGACCATGCCATGCACGAGGACGGCTAGAAGAATTATAAATTGTCTTGTTTTGCCTAATATATACACTTGCACACGAAAATAATGATAAAAATCCAGAGAAGCTTTCAAATGTGTATTTTATTTTTCTTTTGTTTACCCAATGGATAAAATTTGTCTGAAAAAAATGGCCTCATTACATCCTTAATTTTTTATATTAAGCTTTCAAATGTGATTTTTTTTTTTTCCTTTTTTCTGTGGTCTTTGTTCAAAGGTATGACCTCCGAGAAACTAACATTTCTCACATGTTTTTCTTTTTTTTTTCAGAAATGAATCAGGTAATTAATCGAACATCATTTCTGTGAGAAGATTCATTTTGAATATCAAATTATTGGAGCAAAATTATATCACAATATTTTTCATTGTTAGCTCAACAACATATCACGATAATTTCATAAAACATGGCAAAAATACACGCCCAATGGAGCATTCGGTGAAGAACTTTTTTTCTTTTGCATATGTTATTTCAATTCCATGCATCACTACTGTTTGTTTTGCACTACCAAATACAAAGAATCAAGATATTCTTCTTCTTTTTCTCTGGGTGGTTCATATTTTTGCTTATTTATTGACAATATTAATGAATAAAAATAAAACAGAAAATTATCAATAGTTGATGTTGATGTTGGTGCAGCCTGTTATAAAAATCTCAGGCCAATGTTAGCATGCGTGTTTAGCGATGGGGATGGGCGGCTTTGACGACCAAAAAATAAAAGATAAATGAAAAAAAAAAATTAAGATATTCAAATTACCTGAAACTATATATTTAGTAGAAAATATAGGCTATGTAACATATATATTTATTTATTCTCTTTAAAAAAAAAACGTCCATCTTTGATTCTTTTTCTTTCTAAATTAATAAGTAAATAAATAAATGAATGAATGAATAAATAAAAACTCTGACAGGTTGTATTCTAAGTTATAACAGGAAAAAACTTGTGGTTTGTAATGTTTGTTTTGCACTACCAAATACAAAGAATCAAGATATTCTTCTTCTTTTTCTCTGGGTGGTTCATATTTTTGCTTATTTATTGACAATATTAATGAATAAAAATAAAACAGAAAATTATCAATAGTTGATGTTGATGTTGGTGCAGCCTGTTATAAAAATCTCAGGCCAATGTTAGCATGCGTGTTTAGCGATGGGGATGGGCGGCTTTGACGACCAAAAAATAAAAGATAAATGAAAAAAAAAAAATTAAGATATTCAAATTACCTGAAACTATATATTTAGTAGAAAATATAGGCTATGTAACATATATATTTATTTATTCTCTTTAAAAAAAAAACGTCCATCTTTGATTCTTTTTCTTTCTAAATTAATAAGTAAATAAATAAATGAATGAATGAATAAATAAAAACTCTGACAGGTTGTATTCTAAGTTATAACAGGAAAAAACTTGTGGTTTGTAACATTTTTGACCAATTGATATATTCCCCTTGAGTCATTGACAAGGAAAGAAAATCTTGGAATTTTCCTAGAAACTTCTTCGTGTGCTACATATGAGTTGATCATCTCCATTTTCATGGTTCAAGGGCCTATCGTATACTGCCAAATCAGCTTACATGCAGCTTTTAATTTTGGTCAATAACTCTGAATATTTGTTGATTGACTTTAGTCAAATGTGGAAGTATATTACTTTGTCAGTATTGCTTATGATTTTGTATGTGAATAAGCGATGACGCGTGGCCGGTACTAAAATTAATCATGTAATTCGCATGGTTTTAAATTATTCAAGGCAAGTAAAAAATTCAAGATTGGAGTCTATTAAACGAAAAATAAAAATATTCAAGATTGGAGACCAAATTGCTCCAAAATTAGAAGAGAATATATACGACCAATTGATAATACCGCTCATTGTGGGCTATTTACCGAGTTTACGGGGGAAAGAATGTGTTGAATCTTACTCCAGTCTACAAATACGTGAAAAATGATTAAAATGAGGATAGTTCAAAGCTCGTACGTTTTTAAGACATTTTCTTTCTCTAAATTTTCTTTCTCTAATATATAACGTAAGCTACATAGTTACATCTTTCTCATTTCAACAGAACAATTACCCATCACTCACAAAAATAGACCTTTCTGTTCCCATCGGGATGTATAAAACTACTCTCCTAATTAAGAAATAAAGAATTTTGCTTTAACTTGTCTAAAGATAATAGTACGTACCTATTATGAACAGCATTTTTTTATGGAAAATCATGCTAAACCGTAAAACAGTAATACAATACATTATTGCCACATGGGATACTATTATGTGACACTAGTCTAAACTAATATTTGACTATTTGTGCAGGCTTGTCAGTTTTTTCTTCCTATTATGAACAGCATTTATGGTCCTCGGCCAAATCATTCTCTATCCTTACTTGTCAAGAGTAATGTTCTTTCTCTTTAACATCTTCCTTTCCTCCTTGTAAAAACTCACATGCAAAATAAATTTCAAATTTTTGACTCGATCAATGCTCCAAAACAGTTATCATTAATTGGAACTTTTTTGTGTATTAACTCATCAGCTCAAAATTAAAATCCTTATTAAGAATTTTTACACCTCACGGCAAAATGACCAACGACAAGAAACAAAAACCTCTCAACTTGAATGATGAATGATTAGGTCAAAAACTTTAGTTTTAACCATTATTGTCGATGTGATGTACATCTATATATCATAATGTTCCATAGGCCTTAATGGGGGTCCGTCACTAGAATGTTCATCATCACCCGTATTAAATGTTTTGGACAATTTTGGTTTCGAGGGTGGGGGACCAAACTCTTCTTTGGAAGAGTTTTCAACTATGCTAAGTTCACTATATGTAATAATTGAACAATTATCCCAATATATTATTATAACTTTGGAGAAGGCAATATCCAAAAAGGCAAAAACCCACTTGTTTGAAATAGTGGGAAATTACCTTCGTTTTCAGCTAACAACTATTTGTATTTATTATTCTATTGAACAAGGTTGAAAAACCATTGGGTCTACACATTTACTTTTATATTTGGCCCATTGATCACGGCTAATGGGGACCATTCCCACTATTGGTATATATTGTACGTGTCTTTAATGTTGCTAATAATCAACAAAGTTGTAAGTTGTTTGGACTACGACACTTTCTTGGAATGGAAATTAAACTTGGATTAGGAGAAGTATAATGATGAAGTGTTTTAACGGATCAGTTAGAAGTTGGCAATTTTATAAGGGATTCTGATTTTTCTTTTTCTTTTTTTTTAAGCTTTTTGTAATGGTTTGAAAAAAAAAAAAAACAAAAAAAGAGAATTCTTGAATATTTATTATTTAATGTTGCTCAGCTGGATTCGGAATAAGACTTTGAAAATGGGTGATCGAGAAAAATCACACGCAAGTCAAGCAAGACTTACTCAAAAGTCTTGCTTGGAAATAGATGTTAGGAGTTTGGACCCATGTAAGGGGATACACCTGTCCGATGACCAAATTTTACCGAGAAAACCGGACAAATACCTCCTTTAAGTTTAAATTTTTATCTTTTATTTTTAATTGATATTTTTTTAGTTAAATAATTATATTAATTAAAATGATATTAATTAAAAAAAAGGAAAAAAATGAAGACCGTTAAAGGTATGTTCAGTACTTTTCTTAATTTTTTAGTTGCGTAACAGTAACTGGCCTGGTGACCAAACCACACGGTAAGCAAACTTGAGGAAAAAGTGTTCTAGCCCATGTTTATCGAAGCCCATCAATTAAGGCCCATATATTATGGCATGTTTAACGGATTAGACGAGAAATTGAGGAATGCCATTCAACGTAGGATTTCTGCCACTTTGATTGGTTTTTCAGATTTCTGGTACACAAGAAGATTAGTTAAATATATATAACCAAACTATTCGTGCTGGTCAGAGATGCATGTCTAGTAAAGGAGTTCACATCACAGTTTAAATGGTTATGTTTTTCTCGCAAAAATTTAAGTTTTAGTTTAAACTATCTAATTTGAATCTGTAAATCAAACGGGTAATGTACTAAATTATCACTCATAATAATTTATTAGATGTCGTCGGACCAATAGTGATAACCGACACAGTCATTGGTTGCTAACATAGATAATCGATGTGTAATATGGTAGATAATCACTAATAGTTCTAATTATTTTACCTTCTAAACATAGTTCGCTAACCGTCTCTAACATTGGTCGCTGACGTCGGTTGTCATAGTAAAATCTGGTAGATTATCACCCATAATCTACCAGATTATTGTGCCTTCCAAATGCGGATCGCTTGTCTTCTCCAGCACCGAACGTCAGCATCATTCATCTAAGCACTCTAATAAGCTAACACAATAATCTATAAAATTATTTCTCGAAAACAATAGATAATATTGGTCTTCTTCTTGGAGTGTAATCTTGTAGAATACCTACCATAATCAACCACACTAATGAGCGGAATCCACATTAAAAAAAAAAAAGAAATTACAAAAAAATTATAACAATAAAAATATTTTTTAAAAAAATGTAGAGAAGAAAGTAAAAAAAATAAATAAATAAAAAATGAAAATATCATATTAGTAATAGATGACTAAACTGAAGTGTGAGAATTATTCTGATCTAAGACAAGTGAAAACAAAAGCAGATGTACAGATATATTCAAATCTTATCGGATATGACTAAAGTTGAAATGGAGCCGTAGGGAAAAGAATGTTGTCAATAGTTTCCTGTGTAAGAGACTATAATAGAGAGGGAGAGAAATCAGAACAAAAAGACGGAATGTGTGATGGAGAACTCCCAGAAGGAGTCGATCGCGGGGAGGAGAAGGGTGGCAACACGTGTCTATGCCTCTATGGAGGCTTGCGAGACGAAGGCGTGCGAAGTTGAACGAGCCATTGGCACACAGCGACTTCTGAGCTAGTCACTGCATCTGACATAAGTTTTCATTAACCAAAATAAGAATTTGTGGTAGGATGTGAAAAATACCCTATCAATAGGATTCTATTTTAAGCGCTAAATATTTATATAAGATTCTATGAGTTTTGCATTTTTGTTTTTTTCATTTTAATAAGTTTTTCACTATGTCTAACTTTAATAGAAGGAAAGGATGCATATTTTGTCGTTTCTGTCCAACACCAGTTAATAGTGATCACTTACAATAAACAACATTAGAGCTAGAGCATTTAGACTAGGCCAAACGGATAGGCTTTATTATTGATCTAGGCTCGGGCAAGGTTGGGCCGATTTGTTTCAAGTCTAAAAATTTATTCAGACCGGCTCAGCTCAACTAGAACACCCCTTTTTTACTTTCTTTTTTTTTAAATAAAAATATCTTATAAAATTTTTAGTAAGCTCAAGGCACGTCGGGCTTTAAGGCCGGATTTAGCCGACCCTCCTTCCTTTAGGACCAGGTCAGAATTTGCATTCAGGCTATCAGAATCGGAACGAGTCAGGTGGATAACTCAAACTTTCACCTCTACCAAAACAGCACTATCATGATCCAAATTTAAAATTTTATTTGAACTAATGATATCAACGGTTAACTAAACTGTTTGTGTAGAAATAGAAACATTGAATGGTAGGCAATAACTTTTTTTTGTCCTTTTCTATCCCTAACAGCTCCTCTTCTTTCTGACTAGATGTGTTAAAAGGGTCGTGTCGTGTCGGCACGGCCCTTCTAAGCCCAAGCCCATCACAGGTCTGGGCCGGCCCAGGCACGGCCCTCTACAGTAGATGGTCGGGCCTAAGGGGAGACCCTCAGGGTCGGGCCCGGGCCCATGCCCTTATAGGCCGTCCCTACTAATGGTCTTGTAGTACCTTCATTTTCTGGCCCTTTAGGACTTTATTTGGCCGGCCCTACTAATAGTCCTGTAGGACCTTCATAGGCTCGGCCCTACTAAATGCCTTGTTCAACGGTCTAATTTATGGTCGTTGAGCAGGCGTCGGTTGACCAGGGCGGTCGATTGGTAAGGGCATCACTGGATCGATGGCTTACAACTTCTCTGCTATTGGACGACCGGATTACACTGGATTCTCCTAAAAACTCAATTTTAACCTAATTTTCTTAATGCACTTGAGTTTCACTCATGATTAACAATTTTTTTAGGATTTTGTTTATAATTTCATATTTGATGACAAGAAAAGTAATATATCATATGCCCTGAAAAATGTAATTTTATTAAAATATATGAATAATTACAAGAAAATAAGTGGTTGACCGGTCAACCTAGTCGACCGGTTGGCACTAAAATGTCTTAAATTTCATTAAAATTTCATGTCGCGGGCCTGAGCCGTGCTTGGCCCTTCACGGGCCTAGGCCTTCGTGTGCTTAGGCTGCGGGCCTCAAACATGAGGCCCAAGCCAGACCCTTTTAACATGCCGGCCATGCCAACAGTATAAGCCCGGATCGTGCTGAATTGACCACTATAACGGACGGCTCGGCCCAATTAATACATCTATTCCTGACCATTTCCAACCTCGTCTGAAAACAAGCACATGGAATTATGTATAGCTTGCAATCAATGCGCACTTGTTGTATCCAATTTTTTTTTTTTTTAAAAAAACATGTGGATATAACAACATCAAAATTTTGGGAAGGAATCTTTGCATTAGCAATTTTATATGTACCATACACCAAAAAAATGCCTGTCCATGGGAGGCAAAGGTAAAAAACGACGGCGATTTTGACAACAAAACAGTTTCAATAAATGTCGAGTATCTCAACAATCGGACGGCTGCAAAGTGGGCACGTACCACGATTGACCCACATCTCCCTGGAGCACACTCTGCAGAAGGTGTGTCCGCAGGGGATAAAAGCCGCGCCCTTATTCCTCTCCATGCATACGCAGCACAGCCAATCACTATCCCCTCCTTCCTTGTTGTCCCTCCTCCTCCTGTTGCTCCAATCAACGTCGTCCATTTCCTCTATCAACGTCATCAGTGATTTCACCTGCCCCGAGGCCGTGGTGGGTCCCTCTCTCCCCGCCCTGGAATTGCGCTCTGCCGCCAATGCCATGGCCAGGTTCATACCTGGAACCGCGGCCTGAACCGGTCCCACCGAAACGGGCTCGGTGCGGTGGTGGTGCTCTTCTTCAAGGGTCTCTATGATGGTCAAAGTCGATGGTGATGGGCTCCACGTGGCCCCACAACAGCCCATGCCTTTCAATCCTAGCCTTTGCTTGATGCTCGTCCACCTTCCGATTCGATCTGCACCGTCCATTTTCTGTCCTGTCTTCTGAGTATCTTTACCCCAAACTTCTGCAACTGCGAGCCGATCAGGATCAATCACTGTTCATTAGTCTTACCTTCAAATTCCATTCAACTACTCTTTCTTGAATTAAAAAAAAAAAAAAATCTATTCTTTCTTGAAGAAAAAACTGGCAAATGAAAGGAAATTCACTCGATATTTTTCAAGAAGAAAAAAGACCCGGAAATAGCTTAGATTACGTGGTTTTATATATTTTATGGGAAAAGGAAAACCCAGGAAAAAGAAACAGAAAGCAATAAATCATGCAATGAAGTTGACTCTCTCTCTCTCTCTCTCTCTCTCTCTCTCCCTCTCTAGATTATTACAAGGTTAATGTACTTGACTAGAAACAAGAAAGAGAGAAAATGAGGAAGACCAATGATCAAGAACTTAAGTAGTAGACGTAAATATCAGTAATCAGATGAATGAGGGAGATCTATCGATATGGTGATATATATACACACATGTGTATATATATGATCTGTATTAATATTACTTTACCTTGGGAAGTTGAGAAGTGGGCGATCTTGTATATGATCTGATCTATATATCTGCAAGTAGTGTACTGAAGTAGTTAGACAGCTCTGCCTCTGTTGGCGGAAACGAACTGTAAAGAGAGATTCCGAGATGGAAACTCTTGAAAGTTGAACCAAGTAATATTATTAATGGCGACAAACCAAGCCTAAGTAAGGCAGGTTCATTTTCGTTATAAGAGGAAGCCAAGGGAAGTGAGAATTGGATTTTAACCCAATCGAGACAATGATTAAGAGAGGCAAGAAGAAACGAAACACACACACACATATATACACGGTAGGTCAATTTTTAATTATAGAAATTAATACGTCATAACTTATTAAGTTATGGTTTATAATCAGATAAGTTATGGATAAATTTGCCAAGTTATGATTTATAGTCAGACAAGTTATGGATAAAAATCGTGAATAACTTGTCAAATTATGATTCATAACCAGACAAGTTATGGACAAAAACAGTAATTTAGCCTATTTATTAACTTATGTAAACTATTAACATATTAATTTTAATTCATCTCAAGTCTTGATCTATTTCTCTCTTTCTCCTATATATATATATATATATATTGTGTTATTAGGGTATGACAAAATAACATATTAGTTGTACACAGTTTTAAACCATCCCAATTCTAATGACATTAGAATTTGTAATGTACTAAATGCCCGTTTAATTTATTGATTTGAGTTTTTAATTTGAATTGAGATGTAATTTTATTTGAGAGTTTTTTACTATAACAAAAAAGCTAAATGTAATTGTTTGTAAGAACTTTTTACTATAATAAAACTCAAATTTTAAACTAAAATCGGTGAAATAAACGGAGTCTAAACGAATATAATGTAACCAAACTTGATAAAAATCTGCAGTTGAAAATTATATTTGATAATTGATAGGATATTATTTTTTTTAAATACAGTAATTTCATTAAAGAGTCACTAAAGGTTTAGAATACAAAACAACACGAAACTATAGAAATGAGTGTCACTAGAGATGTCAAATGGGCCGGGCCGTCCAACCCGTAATAGTGCCGGATTCGGCACGGTCCGTTTCGCTATTGTTACGGGCCGTGCTGGCCCGGCACGTGTAATGGGCTAGGGCTGGGCCTCAGCTTCTCAGCCCGCGGCCCAAGCCCAGCCCTAGCCCGTGGAAGCTCGCGGCACGGCCCGTGTTCGGCGGCACAAGTCTTGATTCGGCCCTTGTTTGGCCCGGCCCAAGCCTGCGAAACGGCCCATGAAACAGCCCTAAAAAATCCTCTCATGGGCCCTTCGCGGGCCCAACGGCTAGAATATGAAAATCCACCCTAAATCCTCTATAAATACCCCTTAATTCAACCCTAAATCTCACACAACAATTCACTCTCAACTTCTTATCTCACTCTCATTCTATCTCTCAACTTGTCTATTTGATTTTGATTCTAAGCTTTTTTCTCTCGTTCAGTCATTTTCTTGCTCTTACATTTACAAAGTTCAAGTTCAATCAATTTTCAAAAAATGGCCGCACCAAACTTCCCTGATTTCACTGCTTTTTCTGAGCTTGGTGATGAGGCATTTTTAAGGAAGAAATGATGCCTCCCAACCCCACCCCCACTGAACCAGATGCTCCGGTGGATAATACTTTAGTGCACAATGAGGAAGCTGGAGAATGCAGCAGGGGAAAAAGACCGCAAACTTCTCCAGCATGGCAGCATTTCACAGAAGAGCCCCGATCAAATCCAAAAACAAGTGAAATGGAAATTCGTGTGGTATGTAAATATTGTAAAAAATAATTTTCTAATAAAAAGGGTGGGGGTACTGGTCATCTGGATAGACATTCGAAAGTATGTCTACCGTTGCACCAAGGTGGGAGTGTGGACTCCCGCTAACAAACACTATCACTCACATCACAGAGGTTACAAAATTTTACATACGATGCACAATGTGCTCGTGATGCACTAGCTAAATTTCTAGCTAGTGCCGAATTGCCTCTTTCTTTTGCAGATGATGCGCCGTTCGAAGAATTCATCCAGACAGCCTTTTGCCCACAATTTAAACGGGTAAGTAGAAACACAACTCGTTCTGATTGCATGAAAGTGTTTTATGCAATGAGACAATCTCTTGTTGATAATTTTAAGACTTTTAATGCTACTGTCTCTTGCACTTCTGATAGGGGTGCAATAAAACTGGATATATATGTGTCACAGAGCACTACGTTGATGACGATTGGGTTTTACACAAAAAAATTATTGATTTTCGTTTATGTTCATATCCTCATAATGCATCATCTGTTTTTCATACAATAATGGAAATTTTTTAGTTTTATGGGATAAAAGATAAAGTTTTAACAATTACTTTTGATAATGTGTCAGCTAACATAGTTGCAATTAACATGTTTAAACATAGTTTGAAACCAGTATTTGTGGGAAAATTTTTTCGTCAACGGTGTGCATGTCACATAATTAATTTAGTAGTTCAGGCAGGAATTGAATATATCTCAGCTAATCTTACAAATATTAGAGAATCATTATCATTCATATCTAGTTCTGGAGCTCGGCTCCAATAATTCAAATAATATTGCAGGAATAGTCAGATGTGCCCAAGAAAGTTTCCAACTGACGTGAGACATAGATGGAATTCCACATCTTTAATGTTGAAGGCAGCACTCACGTATTCGCATCTTATCACAACATAGGTAAACAGTAAGAACGATCAAATTTTAATTTTTGATCCTAATTGGCAGATTGCTGAGTATTTTTTTAAATTTCTAGAAGTTTTTTACAATGTTATTGAATTACTTTTTAGAGTTTATTATCCTACTGCACATTTAGCTTTACATAAACTATTTAATATTTCAGAAACATTTTCTTATTATAGGGATACAAAACTTTTTGAAAATATAGTTAAGTTAATGGAAAATAAATTTAAAAGTTATTGGTTAGGTTGTCCTATGTTATATGCATTAGCAACCATTTTAGATCCTAGGTGCAGAGTAGATGTGACTGAATCATTAATGACTGCTACTGCAAAAAATTTAAAAATAGATATGCAACTAACTATTACTGACGCTAAGAAAATGTTAGAAAAGGTTTTTAGTTTGTATGAAGCAAAATACGGCACAGGTAAAAAAGAACAGGGAACTTCAACGTCAACTACAGTTCGGGGCCTAAAGGATCGTCGTGGAGTTTTTTGAAGAAGAAAGAGAAAACGAAAGGATCATCATCAACACAAGCGTCTACCGAACTAGTAAAATATTTTGAAGTAAATTTTGTAATCGATGACGACAAAGTAGACATCTTACAGTGGTGGAAGAGCAAGACCGATCATTTTCTAACGCTATCCGTAATAGCTCATGACATTTTGACAACTCCAGTGTCAACGGTAGCATCGGAGCAAGCTTTTAGCGCAAGCAACCGAATTCTTGACGAGAAGAGAAGCAGAATGCATCCAGATATCTTGGAGGGGCTAATGTGCGTTAAAGACTGGGAAGATGTCAGAAGACAAAAACAACAATACACAGATGATTCAATGCAAGAATATTTTTCTAACTTAAAAATAACAGAATCTTCTGGAAGTACTTAGGTTTGTAATTTACTATTCCTAGCTACTGCACTCTTTTTTCCTTCGCTAAGGTTTTGTCCCGATCTCCCCACGGATTTTACTTAGCAAGGTTTTTAACGAGGCAGTCATTTATGTGTACTTATTCATATTATGTCAATTCAATAAAATAACATCTTTTAGGGGCATATGATATATTTTTTTAATTAAATCTTTAAAAAAATACAAGGACCGGGGCCGGCCCGTGAAGGGCCTGGGCCCAAGCCCGGCCCTGGCCCTTATGGACTAGGGCCACCGGGCCTGAGTTTTTCTTCTCAGGCCCAGCCTAGCACTGTGCAGGGTCGTGCCAGGCCCGTAATGGGCCTGGTGGTGGACGTGCCGTGCTGGTCCGGCACGGCACGTTTGACACCACTAAGTGTCACTCACGTAACTAGACATTCCATGTGATAGGATATTTTCTTGTACCCAATTAAAATTTGACTGTCAAAAAACTATATGTGATACGATCCAATCAAAGATTTTTTTTTTAAGGAGAATAAACACAATTAAGGGTATATGTGTTTATTTATTGATGGGAAAGTAATTGAAAGCTCTTGTGCAAAGAATATAATCTATTGATGTCAGGGAAAAAAATGTAAATTTCTTATTTAGTTCGTTGATTCGAGTTGAGATGTGATTTTATGTGAGAGTTTTTTACTGTAATAAAAAAGTTAAATGTAACTGTTTTTAAAAGCTTTTTACTATAATAAAATTAGAATTTTAAACTCGAATCGATAAAATAAAAAATTTTAAATTGAGAGTTTTTCCCTCTCTTAGAAGAGAAATTAAAACACAAACCAAGTTTTTACAAAGCAGCATTTCAAAAGTTAAAAGCCCTTTATTAGTGCATTTCATTGCTGGCTAATCTTAACTATTTCTATAAAAAAAAAGCCATAAATTGCGGCCCTCTCAATACCTCACTAGTTCAAGTGTCACCATCAGTGTGTATTGTGTATATCTACTTGTAAAGAACGTAGACGAACTTCTTGTTCTAGCATAAATAGATAAGCTATTGTTTCAACGTCCAATCAATAATGTGGGCCCATGGGCTTCAAATCTTCCATTCCCACTCCATATAGCATCATAACCCAATTAATATATTACTTTTGAAAAAAATGAAGAATTTATCATAAAAATTTTAGAAATATATAAGTTTAGATTTTTATTTTTTATTTTTTATTTTTTATTTTTTATTTTTTATTTTTTATTTTTGATAAATATCTTTTTATTAATATAATTATTTAATTAAAAATATTATGAATAAAAAATAAAAAATAAAAATCCTGATGTATACACTTTAAATGAGTATTTATCAAGATTATCTATTATTTTTACTTGGACAACTGACGCAATTGTTGGCTTCAGAAGTGAAATTGTATGTTTTAATAATAAATTGAGAAAAAAATAGAGAAATTTAAGGGAGGTATAGTTAAAAAAATAGGAAATTGTGGAAAATAACACTTCAAGAAACTAAAATAAGTAAATAGTAAGATTTTAAAATATTTAAATTAAATATCAAATTTATTAGGTAAAAAAATCTATTTACTTGTGTAAATAATATTTATCCAATAAATTTATTATTTATTGCTATTTGTTTCAAATAATTTTAAAACATGTTATTTATTTTAATTATTTACTATAAAAATGTTA